AAAGTATTACGCTGGATGATTATATTGGCATTAGTTGAACCTTGAAATGCAGTATAAAGAAAAGCCATTTGTTGATCTAGTCCTTGAGAGGTTCTGAGATAAATTCAGTGATTTTCATGAACCTCTCACATTCTTGAATTGTTTTACTGAAAATGAAGTGAAATGCCGTTAGCACACTTTCTTCCAGAAGGTGTGAAAAAATCAGTTTTACTTGCTTCCTTATACTTACAAGAACATAAGTACACAGTGAGTATGGAAAATGTTTGGAGTCTATCATATTTATATCCTTGCAACTACCGTTAACGACGCTGTCCTGTAATTGATCGTTCTCAGTTTTGACAGTTGAAAGACAGATTGTGCAATCTGTCTTCCGAATTTCGAACGTCAGCGTAACGAATGTCAAACAAAAGATCTGGCTGTCAAAAGCGCCCTTCATATTACTTGAATTTCAGTTCCTGAAATGATTCATTGACTCATGTTTGGATGATCTCCTACTAGTTCTTATTCTTTCAAAGTAAAGGTGACAACATTATTTTCCTAGACTTTATGTAGTGATCTGCTTTTCTTGACGAGAATGTGATTAGTATAATTGAAACAGTTATTATTATAACCAATTGTACCAGTGATTGTTTAACTGTACTCGTTGTTGTTTAACTCTACCAAAGTCACTTCTCTTTCCGCTATCCATCTTGTTGGTTTGAACATGCTTACACTGTGCTCTTATTGCCTGCAATTTTTGGCGCGTTTCAGTGTTCATTCGATACCACGAGATTGCCAATAAATATACTCTATCTGGACCTGTTAAAGTTATCTGGTTCGCGAGTTATCAAAGGGACCAAGTCGTTTTGGGCGCGTAATCTTATTGTAGTGGTGATCTTAGTCAATCAAGACTCGACGCCATCTACATTTATAAGGGGTCAAATGCAATGATTTATAACTAATTGGAAGTCTTTGCCCTCAAGCTAGAGCAAAGATCACTTCAAACTTAATGACTCAAGACTAATTATAAGGGCATTTTTACCACAGATTGTTTATTGTACTTATTCATGGGGAATCGGAACATTCACATTTTATTTAACTGAAGAAACCTTTTGGAAGAATTGCTTACTTTGTTTGTGTAATTTCCAACATGCTCGAAACGGAATTCTTTGCTCTTTGAAAAGCTAAAAGTTCGAAATTGTCCATACAACTCTGGCGACGAATCCTATAGTCGTGGAGTGTTAACCTGTCATTCCGGCTGAAAACCTCACTCCAAGCGTCCGGATATCTTCTAACAAAATGTCAATAATTTTAAGGAAATGGAATTATATTTAGTAGAAAAATAACATTCTGTTGTGTTCGGGATTAACGTAGTCTGTGGTTTTCTGACTTGCTGATTATCAAAGGATATGTCTCAAATAAATACCTAAAGCGTGGTTTGTTGAGAGTGCTCAAACGATCACCTACAACTAGTGGCATACACTAGTGAGTACTTATGTATCTTTTTAATCATAGTTTTTAAATATCTACTTTCACAATCCTGAACAATCCTGCACTTTTCGTACGGGAAGTTTAGTCCTGATGTGATTTGCGTTTCTCGCACTTTTGCTGTGTCCTTAGGCAAGGGAAGTACCATTTTTGATCCAAAGAATCCATCCTGAGCTTTACGTTCGGTAGATTAGTTTTTTTTTGATTTTCAGTCAGGTTAAGAGTTAACTGTTGTTCGCCTAAGCTTACTATCCTGTTTTCCACTTTTTCAAATCAAGGCTAGTTTTAGTTTAGTTTAACCTTTTGAACTACCCGTCTTTTACCCATCTTTTTCCTTTGCTTAAGTGTAATGTTTCCTTTGTTTTACGGTTGTAGACTTTTGCTAGGATTTATAGAACAATTTACATCACTATAGTCATGAAGAATTCATGCAAGCGACCCGGATGCCGTTTCGCTGTTACCTCTGACACGTAGTGTGACAAATGCAAAGGTTGATTCCATGAAGCATGAACAGATGTTCCAGTGACTGCTAACAACAGACTCAGTAAGTCAGATCATAAGTGGGTATGTGGCACGTGCAATATGAACGCTGAGGTTTTGCTGAGCAACATCATTCTCTAGACAGATCCGCGGAAAAAGTTGTCAGCAAACCTGATAAAAGTCCTAGAACGGCTAAACAAACAATGACGCGCAGTGAAGACAAAAAGAGAGACATCGATTACGCTAGCATCGACGGAGCATGTGATGACACTAGTAAGAACATGCTGAAGCTTAGCATCATCATAACGTCAACAGTACTAGACTCCCTCAGGAAACTTGGGACCCCTGAATGTGACGGTGGTTCCCCAAAACTCTGTAGGCGATGGAAACCATGTCAACAAAGTTAAAAACAACTGGGTGTCACCGTCTATGAGGCTAAACATCCCAGGTATTGTAGTGAGACCAACTAATGATTTGGCTGTACGGTCTACCCTCAATAATGTCCAGCTGGTTAGCAAACGTCACAGCAATCTTCAACGATATTCAACCACGAAATAACAAGGTCCTCAATCTTAACGTACCCGAAACCCCAAAAAAGCAATCACGGTTCGCGACGATTCTCTCATAATCATGGACCTTAGATACAACCCTGACGTTCCTCTCAGACTGCAGGTCAAAAATGACAGGATGCTCTGGGATTAAACAAGAAGCTCGAACTTCTCAAAGTAGAGCCTTTGACGGTTATACGGCTCACTCGGGGTAAAGGACTCTTAGCATCAAAATCACCTAAGACCACTCTGTGTAACGCCCACAAACGGAACTGACGCAAGGGAAATGTTACTGGCTAGTCATTTGTTGAAATCAAGTGGGGATTTAAGACTACTGTCTGATATATCGTGTTCTGAGAGCAAGCTCATTCGGAACATCGTCAAGAAATATCATTATGCAAGGTTTGATAGAAAACACGGACCATGACCACAAAAACTGATATCCGGAAAAAGAAATTAATCAAGCAGTCCTTGAAGCTCAAAAATATATTGGCTCAACAAGTGGTGAGACTAACCAAGAAGTACGGTGATTCTAGACCCTGTCTGATGAAGACAACCTTCTCACCCTCTCATATGGCCATTGCAACTCTGGGAGCATTTCGTACCAACAGACACCGGTTGCCAACTGGAATCCATGTGCATCCGAATAGACCACATGATGCCGGGATCAAGCAAAGGGCAAGTTGGAGCAGACTGTTCCACTTGTGGGCTGTCTACATCATAAAAAAGTGAAAAAAACAAGGGCTGAGAACTCGGAAAACTCTGTGCAGGTAGCTTACCCGCCCATTCACGCAAGGCAAAAAAGACATGGAAGCTCACGTGCTTTAATGGACAGCATAAACTGCGAGAGTTTATCGAATATAGTGGATGAGCTGCGTGAACTCAGTGATGCTAATAATGCTCGTCTGATAGGAATATCTGAAGCATGTATATTTTATCTGTTTACGAACCAGGAGCTAGTAATACCCGGGATGTTTTCGTTTTGCAATGGCATATAAGCAGGAGTGGGGGTGGAGTAGCCTTATACTTGCGATCTTGTCTTGAGGTATGCCAAGTGCACAACCAAGAGTTTATCAGTCTTGAGGAATCCGTATGGTACTAAGTAAGATTTTCTGTCACCTCGAGGTGTATAATTGGAGTCATCTACAGGAAGCTCACTGATGACATTGAGTACGACAATCGCATGCTGGAATGATTATCTCGCTCTACTCGTTTCCGATTCATTCATATCCGGATTCTAGGGAACTTCAATCTTCCTGAAGTCAGTTTCGCGGAACATACGTACATTAGGGTGAAAACTCCATTGAAGCTCGATTCTTCAACCCTATTGAGGATCTAGGATTGTTCGAAAATGTGAAGTCGGCAATTCGTTGGAGAAACATTCGTCGAGCTTAGACTAGGTATTAACAAACGAAGAATTCCTAGTTGACAACCTCTCAATTCTTGCTCTCCTTGAAAAAGCCATCACGACATCATAGCCTTTAGTTTTATCAGCATCCCACCAACAAAAGGAGCTGGAATTTCGAACGGTTGGATGTTTCAGCTTTACGTGAACATCTAGAGCAAGTGGATTGCGAAGTCCACACTCAATTTTGTGTGGATGCTCTTTGGGATTTCTTACTGCACACGAACCTATGTGCTACAAAGTAGTATATTACGCAAATAGTCCCCAAAATCTACAGGCAACCGACAGTCACAAAGAACCTCACTCTTCGTTTGCTAAGCCGCAAATGACACTGCTGGGATGACTGCAAAAGGTCTGGTAACAACAGCGCACACAAGCAATACTAACAAATAAGGAACATATGAACAAAGGCAGTGAGAGAAGACAGGTCTTAGTATCAGATAAAGTTTGTCGACAAATTTGTTTCTGATCAGGAAAGATTATTCTGTTGTGCTGTTGTCCTTAGTCGTTAAGAATAAGTCAAGTTTCTTCTTTAAGTACTCCTGGGAAGTCTCCTGGTCTAGCTCAATCGAGAGCGAATTCCAAGCATTTGACAACTCTTATTGGGTAGAATTTGTGTCTGCAAACCATTAGACCATTAGGGCCTAGAAATTGAGACTTCAGCTTTGGCTTGTTGAAAAGAGAGTGCATAACGGAATAAGCTATTGGGACTGAACACAAATTTATCGATAAACCAGGTTTTTCACAAACTTTGAGAGTTTTTGAGTAATATTCGTGGTTCAAGTGCTTACAAAATCATACTGTTTATCACCGTGAATGTGACAACTTGATGGGATGAACAAACACATTATTTCAACATCGTCTTGAATTTGACGTTATTTTGTTTGTATCTCCAAGGCGGAGCGCATTTTACAACCGACTTCTCGATGGCTTCTTTCTGATGCATGGTAAAAATTACGTCAAGTTACGGTGATTGTTATTACATATAAGTAACTAAGTTCAGTATACTAGCATAGATGGTTAATCAGAACATGGAGTAGCTGAGTAATGTACTGTTATTATCTTTCGTCGTCGTGTGTGACTGCCTATTTCCTGGAATCATGTCGACTAATGAACTAGGGCCTGGACTAAAAGGCATCTCTTTAAATATGATGGTTATGCAGGCCAATACAATGAAATTAAGTAATCAGGAAGCTAGCCGTTCAAATGATTCTAAAGACGAACCTTGTTCTATTAATGAATCCTCTAGTATTGACCGCCATTCTTCAGATGAAAGTTCACCTGGAGTAAAAATTATTGAAGACCGGTGTCCCGAAAAGATGACTATATTGGAATTGGCTGAGGATGATGTTTCACGAGCGGTAATACAGCGAAAACAACCGCTTATGGAACTGGTTAGTTCCGAAGAAGGTTACGTCCGGCGTTTGAAGCTGGTAAAGGATTTCTACATACCTGCTGTTAATGCTCCAACTACAGCTCAATCAAATGCCGAAAACAATATGGGAGTATCTAGCTCACTACCTCACGGTGATTCTCATGCCTCCCCACCTGTTGCTCCAGAGGATTTAGCAGCTCGGTGGAGAATCATTTGGGGAAACTGGATTCAGCTCTACGAATGGCATTCGGCGTTCCTTGAAAAGCTAGTCAGCGTTGTGGATAGTGATCCTGATCGCATACCAAAGCTTTTTATTGACTCACGAGCTCGTTTAAGGTCTATATACTCAAAATATTGTGAAAACCATCGAAAGGCAGCTTTAATTGCAGAGCAGTATCGTGATTTTTTCGAGGAGTTGCGGATTTTTATTGGCGACAAAGAGGACGTCGTCTCACACTTAATGCAGCCAGTACAGCGTATCATGCGCTACCAACTTCCTATTGCAGAGATTCTTAAGTACACTCAACGTGCCTGTTCACCTGATCTTTTACTGTGGAAAAAGACTCTTGAAATTATGAAAGAAATTCCAAAGGATACGCAACTAATTTTGGAGGTAAGTTTTGAAATGTGCATTGTTTTGTACAGCACAGGGGTCATATGTTTCTTAGTATCTTTTCAATGTCACAGAAATATTTCAAGTATTCAATTGATTCCCACCTTCATCCCGTAAAATCATTATTTAAGGTATTTGTAATATCGACCACTGGCACATCTGTTTACTCAGGCACTTGTTTTCGTTCGTATATTTTATCCATGTCATTCCTAAGTGTTTGAAGTCAAACCTTCACTTGTACAAGCTTTAGGATTGCTGTGTTTATCCATAATCATTATTATATTGTTAGGTCACAGTGATAAAATGTCTGACATCGTCTGTGTTGAAATGTTTGGGAAAATAGGTTGGAATTTAACATCCGAAAATTCCTTTGGATGGTTCTCAGTAGACCAAGTACGAAAATCCATTTGTTTGGCATGATTATACTTACTTTTTCTTGTCAGTTTTTTGTGTGGAAAACTTCAACCTCTAAGATAAAAATATTTTTAGTTGTTTAGGACTATGGGAGTCGGGGTACGAAATGGTTTGTTTCGGTGTTAGTTAACCAAATTAGCATTGTGACGGCAACCTTCCGTAACTTAGAGAAATTGTTTTTTTAATAAGGCGATAAGCCAGATCTCTTAATTCAAGGTACCACTACCTTCAGTTTATTATAATTAGTTTGAAAAAATAGGTATGTTCTCCGAAGAAGTAACTAGCAACAGTTTTACTTATAATAGCAACATTACTTAGGATTCTTGAAATCATTTAGTAGTATCAATTTTTTATGCGAACTGTACAGTAGCTTAGCATTGGCTAAATCCTCGCTCATACCCAACTAAATTATTTACCAAATAATGATTGCGACTGTGTAATCAGAGGACTAAAATACATGACGTCTGTACTCAAAAATAGGTTTATTTGCTTCGCTCTTCATATAACTAACTGGAACTAATATTATGACGAGATTGTACTTACGCCTGTTACCCCTCATTCAGGAGCGTAGACCACCTATTAGCATTCTCTAAACAACTCTTTCGTGGGAAATCTTTTCCAGTTGCTTTTCATCCTTTTCATGACTACTTCAAATTCCCGACGCATCTTCCACTTTTCCGTTCCCCTTCACGATTCCAAGTTAGCGATAGCCTCGTTATGCAGTTCGGTGATTTCCTCAATGTATGTGCCACCCACCACCTCCAACGTCTCCCTAATTTCCTCTTCATCCAGAAGTTGGTTTGTTCTGTTTGACGGTAGACCTTTACTGACGGTATTCAATCAACGGACATTGAGTATATTGAGTAAACAATTGTTTATAGATACTTGTAATTTTTTATGATAGTTGTGGTAGCTCGCTAAATTTCAGCTCCGTAAAGTAAAACTATTTTGACGTTCCCATTGAAGATTCTGACTTTGACATTGGTTGACGGTTGTTTTAAGTCCCTTATGTTGTTCAACTTTAGGAATGCTGCCCTTGCTTTGCCGATCCTTACCTTTACATCTCGATCGGATCCTCCTTGTTCATCAATGATGCCGCCTGGTTACGTACGTGAAAGTTTCCACTTCTCCCAGAGTTTCTTCATCAAGTGTGATTGGGTTGGTGTTCTCCGTGTTTCTCCAATTGTTTAGTGTTTCTTTAGCTCTAATTTCATCTTGGTCAAAACTAGGTGGTGATCTGGAGCTATGTCAGCTCCTCTCATGGTTCTCACATCTTCCCTTGTCCTTCTAAATTTCTTACTGATGCAAATATCTATCTGGTTCTCCGTGGTGTGATACAGTGAGATCCATGTAGCTTTGTGTATGCGCTTGTGTGGGAATATTGCGTCGCCTATAACCAGTTTGTTGAATGTACATAGATCTGTCACCACTTTCGTTCGTTTCTCCCAGTCAGTTCATGTCGTTCCATGATATCTTCATATCCGGTGTTATCTATTCCCGATTTAGCCTCTCATCAGTGAATGCATAGTACTGGATAGCATTCATTGTGATTCCCTACTTTGTTTTGAATCTCTTGATTCTGGACCCATGAGATTGCTACCTAAAAGTGCATTTCGTGCTTCTTAGGACAGCATCAGAGCAACTTCCTAAATGTTTGGAGCATTTTCCTCTTCGTGACCAGAGTAAAGCAGTATCTCTCCCCTACTTAACCCTTGCTGTCCAGCTCTCTAACTCGACCGTTGCTGCCCCCTTGACGTGGTGGTTGGGTTTCCCTATATATTGGCTGGAACATATATTCCTGTCGGTTCTACCATAATTTCCACAATCCTCAGTCGACCTGAATAGCAGGTTAATGTAAGTCCACCAGCTCTTTACGAGGTTGAAAAAGCTATAGGAAATCTGAAGTGAGAGAGAGAAGAACAGGCCCTGACAGGTTTGCCCTTTGAGATTTTTAAGGGTAGTGGTACAGTATTAGCAGTGAGATTGACTGAGGTCTTAGGTAGAATCTCGGAACTGGACGTAATTCCATCTGACTGCTCTCAATCACTGATTGTGCTAGTCTATAAGAAAGGATAAAAGTCCTCCTGTGACAATCACAGTGTGATCAGTTTAACTAATATAGTGTCTAAAATATTAGCTTTAATAATCGACGTCTAACCAAAGCTAGTGAAGAGCAGACTAGAGAAAATCAGGCTGGTTTTCGACCTGAACGTGGTTGTATAGACCAGATATTCACTCTACGTCAGGTCGTAGAACATAGACACACATTCAGACGTCCCACAATAGTATTTCTCAACCTTAAGGCGGCATCTAACTCAGTTGATCGTGAGTTTCTGTGGCAGTTTTTGTCACTGAAAGGAGTACTGAAGAAGTACATTAGCCTTATAAAGGGTCTACTCGAACACAACTGGTCAAGTAAGAGCTTATCGCAAACTGTCATCAGATTTGATTACCCCAAGTGGTGTTCACCAGGGCTGTTCACTCTCTCCATTATTGTTTAACTTTATCGTAGACGTGCTTTTAGAAATAACACTTATCTTGGGAGTCTCGTCGCACTTTGTGGTCTAGTGTGTGACAAAATCTCTGCACGCATACAGGAGGCTCGTCTAGCTTTCGCCAACTTGCGTCATTTATGGCATAGGCAAGATATCCGTCTAGCAACCAAAGGATGGGTTTACTGTGCAGCAGTTCGTTCCGTCCTACTTTATGACAGTGAAACATGGCCGATAGGAATAGAGGATAGTCGAAGGCTGCTAGTATTCGATCATAGGTGTCTTCGAAGCATAGCTCGTATATCCCGGGACCACAGAGTAAGTAATGCAGTTGTTAGGAAACGAGTACTAGGTAAGGATTGCAAGTCGATTGATGAAGTAATAAAACTTCACCAGTTGAGATGGCTAGGATATGCGTTACGTATGCCCAACCACCGTCGTGCGATGCTTTATGGTGTAAGAGTAGGTTAGAAGAAAGCCAGAAGAGGCGAGACTAAAACGTGGCACAAATCCGTGAAGTCATAGGCAAGTAAACTGAGCCATGTTGGTAGGTGTAGACTGCAAACACGAGAAAATCAGACTGGCTTCAGACCTGGTCGTGGTTGTATCGACCACATATTCACCATTCGTCAAGTTTTAGAGCACTGACATGCTTATCGGCGTCAGACAGTGATAGTTTTTCTTGACTCGAAAGCAGCATTTGACTCTGTAGACCGAGAGGTTCTGTGGCAATGTCTGTCATTGAAAGGTGTACCTGAGAAGTACATAAACCTTGTGAAGGCTTTTTACTCGAACACTACCAGTCGAATGAGAGCTTATGACGAACTGTCATCTGATTTTACAACCTCAAGTGGTGTCCGTCAAGGCTGTCCACTATCCCCATTTTTGTTTAACTTCATTATAGATTTGTTGCTGGAAATAACACTCTCGTCGACTGAATTTACAGGAATTGATCTCCTAGAAGGGGGACCACTAAGCGACTTGGAATACGCAGATGACATAGTCCTGTTTGGTGAAGACGCTGGCAAAATCCAGAGTCTTCTGTTGGAACTCAGTAATAATGCCAGGATGTTTGGGATTCGTTTCTCCCCATCCAAATGTAAATTGTTAATCCAGGACTGGCCTGCGTCAACCTCCGAACTAAGGATAGGGAGTGAAGTAGTCGAACGCGTCGACAACTTCACTTATCTTGGAAGTCTGATCAGCCCTAATGGGTTGGTGTCTGACGGAATCTCAGCACGGATTCAAAAAGCTCGTTTGGCTTTTTCCAACTTACGTCACCTATGGCGTAGACGAGATATCCGTCTATCAATTAAGGGACGAGTATACTGCGCAGCAGTTCGCTCTGTTCTACTTTATGGCTGTGAAACATGGCCATTAAGAGTAGAAGATACTCATAGGTTACTAATATTTGATCACAGATGCCTTAGAAATATTGCTCGCATCTGCTGGGATAACCGGGTAAGTAATAGTGATGTTAGACCCTGGGTATTAGGGAACGATGGTAAATCAGTTGATAAGGTGATGAATCTTCATCGACTGAGATGGTTGGGCCATGTGTTACGTATGCCTGAACACCGATTACCACGACGCGCTATGATGACTAGTATTGGGGATGGTTGGAAGAGAGTTAGGAGTGGCCAAACAAAAACGTCGCATCAGTGTTTGATGTCACTAACTTTTAGTCTGAGCCATGTTGGCAGATGCAGACTACCTGTTTGGGGTCCGCGTGACTATCGTAACTGATGGTTGGAGTCTCTAGGTGACATGGCTCATAATCGATCACAATGGCGTAGATGCATACACTCTTTATCTTCCCTTAAACCTTGAGACTAAAATTGCTTCATATCTGTCTTTCTTCCTGTACTATATCCTTATATTCAACCTTTCTTGATATGCTACCACCACTAAATTAATTACTTCTATGAATCCGGTGTTCGTCTTGTTGTGCTAACGAGGTATGACAACTTGGACCGATGCATATATGTGCCTGGTCCTACGTTGTAGCTGACTGACTGTAGACTACCCGGTTGGGATCCGCGAGATGATAACAATCGATAGTTGGAGACCTTGAATGACATGGCTCAAAATCGTTTGCAATGGCGCAGGTGCATTCACTGTTTGTGTTCTACCAAATTCTAATCTTCTGAATTCTTCACGTCTCTATCTTTTATCTCTCACCAAATTTATTTCCCTGGATTATACTCTTTGAATAACATCTTCAATCCCTTATCTTTCACATAATACTTATACTCTTACTACTTCTACCACTATGGGATTCGAATCGACAACTTCATCTCTGTGCTAATGTGGTATGGCAACTCGAACTGATGTACGTGCGTACAAAGTTCTACGTTGTAACTGACTGACTGACCTTTCACTCATATATGTATTTATTTGTTGAATGCAACCTTTCTTGTTGTGTGCAGGTCAATTTTTGTTTCATGAAATAAATGATCGCCTTTTAGTTTCGGCATAAACTACAGAAACGCAAGTGTATTCACTCATACTGAACTTTTGGATTATGTTCTTGCACTTTATATTTATTCACATTCACTGTAGTTTTTCTGTTTCATTGTTTATGACAAATACTCATTACTTTTCAGGCTGCTCGTATAGATGGCTTCCCTGGAGTGATAACCGCTTTGGGAAACATATTATTACGCAGTGATCTTCTAGTAGCAACTACTACTCGTGAGCAATTGTTAGAAACTGTCACTGCCTATAAAATGGCTCTTCAAAATGTAAACAGTGGCGTTTTTTCTGAAAATAATACATCACTTAACAGAACTCCTCATATTGGGCGATCTGGGGTAAATACAGGTGCATTACTTTCTACAGACACTTCAGTCACTCTGTATTCGTCCTCAGTTACACCAAATAATTTGGGATTGCCTCTTGTTGAAAGCTGTAACTCTGTTATTTCAGAAGGAAATGAACTTTTTACAGGAAATCTAAAGTTTGTAGAATCACGTTTGTTTTTATTCGAGCAAATGCTACTCGTAACAGAAGAAGTTAAACCAAAACGTCGTGTAACTACTAGTGATACATTTTCCCAGTCTACTTATCAATTTAAAGCTGCTATAAATGTCAACAAAATGCGTTATGAAGTGAGTACATATAAATTTTGAAACAGCTTTTCTAATCTTATGTTTGAATGTTAGTTGATTACCGTGGTCAAAAATTATTTAATTTAATTCGGTCATTTGTTATTCCACAAAATGATGTATTGTTCATTAGTTAACCCATTGAGAACAACTTTGTTTTGATTAATGTTATTATATGCTGATAGTACAAGTCACTCATTATTCTAGATTTAAATTAATAAATTTAATCATGTCAACTGTACATGGCATAATAAAAGCATCTATACTTCCATTAAGTTCTGTGGTGGCCTTTCCCGCTGGTTGTAAAGCTATTATAGTGTGATTTAATAACATTAACAAAACATCTACGTAATCTTATACGGTGATCAGAAGAGTATAGAAGTTTATACTGGTTTATCTGTTAGTGATAATGGTGCTGTATCCCTGTTATAATTTCCCTTTTTATAACCCAGTTATTCCTATTGCTTAGTAGCCTTGGACACCAATTCACTCGATGTGTCCCCAAATCAGAACACGGTTGAACGGGAAAGAAATTATATTTCAAATAACAAGGGTGGTTGAAATTAAGAGGCACAATAAGAGATATGTCAGTACATTTATGGTTTTTACATGAAAAGATTAAAGTCTTCTCCCAGTATCGGCTAGTGCTGATTGGATGAAAATTAGCCAATCAGCGCTCACCAACACAATCGTGCATGGAACATGCTTTAATCCAATTTATTTCCCGCTAGTACCTGCCCTTTGAGCAGGTTCAAACTACGACCGAGCGACTGGCCTGTGCTTTCGATTTGTCCATCGTTTAGGCAATAAATAAGTTGTATTGCTCTTTGCTTGCACAGAAACTGACCCGCCTGTTCCGGGCGTTTTGATCTCTAAGGTGTCTAGCAGAACGTCAAAAGGTATTCGATGTCGAGTTTTGTTGCTGGCTATCGAAGTTGCTTTGAATTGGTTAGCATGATGTACCGATACTTCTGAGCCAGCTGACACCTCATGAACCACATTCCCTTTATTTTGCACGATCCGACCAGCTGTTCATGTAGGATGTTTTCCATGATAGTCCATAGCAAGTACTTTTCGACCCACTATGAACAATCGTCTTTGTGCCCTATGATGTCGATTGAACTGCTTCTCCATCGATACATTTCGTTGAGACTCAAGAGCTGGCGTCGAACGGATGACATCGAAATGTGTTCGTATTTTTCTGCCAAGTAGTGCTCCTGCTGGAGAGACCCCGTTAATCGTCCGAGGGTTCGGTGTATAGCGATAAATATGCAGGAACTTCCTTAAGATTTCTTCGGTGATTCCCTCCCCCTTTAGATTTTTTGAGAGCATTTTCAGATGCACTAACAAAGCGTCCCACTTGATCATTGGATTGAGGATAGGATGGAGGTGTTCGGACATGATGAATTCCCTTCTGTCAACAAAATTGTGAGAAGATAGCGGACGTAAAATGTGTTGCATTGTCGCTAACTGTCAATTCTCGGACGTAGCTTTTTAATTGTGCAAATTGCAGTTGGATGTTACATGAGAAAAATTTCTGGCCACTTGCTGTATGCATCAACTATTAGAAGGTGAGTTTGTCCATGTAGTGGGCCAGCAAAATCCAAGTATATACTCTGCCACGGTGACTGTGTTGTTGGCCATGATTGCAGCTCTGCTTTTCGCGGTGCTTCTGTTGCTAATGCCCATTTAGTACGCGAACGAGATAGCTGCTCCAATTGAGTGTCTAAATACGACCAGTATACATAACTTCGTGCTAGTTCTTTCATGCGATTTCTTCCAGGATGTCCTGTATGCAACTGTTCGAGCACTGAAGATTGCAGCTTCTTAGGGATTATGACACGTTCGGCAAACAGCAGGCAGTCGTCGATAATTAACAGAGAGAGTCTATGCTGGTAAAATTGTTGAAGCTCTGTGAAGTTAATTTTCAAGAGCCACTCTTCTAGAAACTTTCTAATTTCTTGCAGGACTGGATCCCGAAGAGTTTCTTCCTTGACTTTATCTGACGACACTGGAGTGTTCCGAATAACATCTGTTACTATACTTCGTATTTCTGGATCTACTGCTATGGAGGCAATGATTATGTCCTCTGGTCCAAGGTGTTAAACTCCAATTAATCGAGAGAGTGCTTCAGCTTGACCGATGTTATTTGTCGACTGATACTTGATATTGAAATCATAGCTCAGGTGCATTGTTGTTCAGTGCTGTAATCTATTAACCATATAGACAGGGATTCCTTTCTTAGAACCAAAGATTGCAATCAGGTTTGTGATCTGTCAGTAAAGTAAACGTACGGCCATAGAGCATCTTTTAACGGCGAAAACGATTGCAAGAGCTTCCTTTTCTATTTGACTATAGTTTCGCTCGGTTGGGGTGAGTGATCTAACAGCATAGGCAATTGTCTTTTCTGATTTGTCCGGAAACACGTGAGATATCACTGCTCCAGCTCCACGACTTTATTTACTTATACACATAAACAATGGTACAAGGAAGCACCAGATACATATGCGCCGCACAAATCTCATTCGATTTATGTGAGGGCTGTGATACTGCCCAGATGCCCAAACTGAAGTTCCACGACTAGAGGCACCAGATGCAACAACAATTCCCAAGCTGGGATCAAAGTGTGTCAAAACAAGCTTTGATCTGAGTATTGGTTTTACTTTGTCAAAAGATGCCTGACATTCAACTGACCACTGTCAAGGTCTATCTTTTGATGGTAATTCATTCAGAGGACCTCTCACTCGATGAATTTCAGGTAGAAATATGCTGTAATGACTGATTAACCCTAAGAATGATCTTAATGAGAGGACATCAGTTGGTACAGGCATCTTCTGGATGGCTTCGATGTTGACAGGGTCTGGTCGGCAACTGTTCTTATCTAAGATGAAACCAAGGTATTCGATCGAATGCATGAAGAAGATATACTTTTCTTCACGTGGTTGGAAACCATGCTCAAACATTCTGTCAGGAACTTGATGTAGTCTATCAGAATGTTCACTGTCAATTGAACCCATAACTAAGATACCATCTAGATAAGCTGCTGTACGGGGTATATCTGTTAGCATCGTATCCATTATTTTCTGAAAGATTTCAGGTGCGGTCTTGATGCCAAATGGTAGACGGGTGTATTAAAGTAACCCTGTATCAGTGTTAATGGTCAGAAGCTCTACTATCTTCAGCTACTTCCACTTGCTGATAGACATCGGAGAAGTCTATATTCGCGAAACATGTTCCACCATTAAGCTTGGCTAACAGGTCTTCAGGAACTGGTAACGGATAGTAATGTACGTTCAGTACAGCATTTAAACCGGTTGAGAAATCGGCACATATGCGTATAGTTTTATTGGCCTTAACCACTACGATCGGTGTAGCCCATGCAGACTAGTTAACTGGTTGGATTACACCAGCTTGTCGCAAGCGATTAAGTTCCTGGTCGACTATTTCAAAAGCAAAATATGGTACAAGACGTCTTGGATGAGAAAATAGGTTTAGCATCTGGTTTCACTGGTAAGTGAGCTTTCTTTTTTTTACAATTACAAAGGCTATTCTGAATAACAGGCAAACTTTCTCTTCAGTTTCTTCTAGCAATTTTTATTAGTAAGGTTTGTTTTTTGGAGAAACGTGGTAGAAAAGTTATCTGTTGTATACAGTATTCAAGTGTTTTTAAGGTTATCTCGACATATCCCACTCGTAAGATTAACGCAATTTAAGTCGGACATATAAATGCCATTGAATTGTAGACAGAATAAGTACGAACTAGTCACCTTTTTGCTCATGTATTAAAACGTCAATTATATGTATTTTATGAGTGTTAGTTTTACTATTTAGTAGCATAATTGGTAAATATATATATATATATATATATATATTTATTTATTTATTTTATTTATTTATTTATTTAAACACATATATATTGGTACAAAAGGGCACCAGGTACATATGCGCCACACAAAATAATGAAAGTAGGTAGATAAAGGATGAAAAGATAAGGCGGGCTGAAATGTACAACCAGAAGATTCTTTCAGTTAGGAAAGTTAGAACCATTCTTTATGTAGAAAGTAAAAGAAGGTTGCAGCAGGATCGCCACTGGCTTCTATTCTGAGCCATATCCGATAACGTCTCTAGCCACTGTGTTGCACTATCTCTCGGACCCCAACCAGGGAGTCGTGAAGGACCAACGGAAGCTAGCCCTTTGCAGCTCTCTTTCATGCCACGACACCATGTCATACACTGACCTCCTCTCCGCTTTCTCCAACCAGTCCCAGGGTCGGCAAATAATGCACGACGTGGAAGTCTCTGGGACGACATTCGTAAAACATGTCCAAGCCACCGAAGTCGGTGTTTCAAGATGGTGACACCAATTGAATTATCGTCTCTGCGCCCGAACACACGATGCCGAACCTCTGCATTACTAACATGGTGTTGCCACTGGATGTCAGCAATCCTTCGGAGACAACGATGATCGAACACAGAGAGACGTCTAACATCCTCAACTCGGAGAGGCCAGGTTTCACAAGCATAGAGCAAAACTGATCTCACCGACGCGTTGTAGATCCGACCTTTTACAGCCAGACTAACATCACGAAGGCGCCAAAGATGGCCCAGATTGGCATAAGCCGCTCTGGCTTTCATTATACGTGCATCAATCTCATCACTCACGCCACCACCAGCACTTATATAGCTACCTAGATACACGAACTTCTCAACTACTTCGATCTCCTCACCATCCAGGGTGAGTACAGGATGAGAATCCTGCCAGTCTTGTAGAAGTACTTTGCACTTGGAGGGTGCAAAGCACATGCCGTACCTGTGGACACTGATTGCCAACTGATTAAGTGCTGATTGCATGCCTTGGGCATTATCGCACAGTAAGACAATATCATCCGCATACTCGAGGTCGAGAAGTCGTTCTCCAGGCAACATATCCACACCGCCATTACTTACATCCATCAGAGCTGTTTCCAGGATGTCGTCGATGGCAAAGTTGAAGAGGAATGGGGAGATCGGGCAACCCTGTCTAACCCCACTGCTCGAATGGAACAAGGGAGAAAGGTGGTTGTATGCCCTCACTCTGCCTGAGGTGTTCGTATACAGGGCTTTTAAGATGTTAATGAACTTCTCAGGCACACTCTTCTTCAATAGACAATCCCAGAGAACAGTCCTGTCCAACGAATCGAAGGCAGCCCTGATATCAAGAAACACTACGATTGTTGGCCTGCGATAAGTATGACGGTGTTCTAACATTTGGCGGAGGGTGAAGATGTGATCAATGCATCCTCGACCAGAACGAAAACCAGCCTGCTCCTCGCGAGTCAATCGTTCTCGGGTTTTAAACAACCTACGAAGAATGATAGAAGCCAATAGTTTGGACGCAATCGAAAGTAGACTTATCCCCCGATAGTTATTGCAGGAACAACGTGAACCCTTTTTAAAGATAGGGACGACTATTGACTCATTCCAAAATGTTGGAACACTTTCTTGCTCCCAAACCTTTCCAAACAACGCAGTCAGTTCCTTAGCCAGAAAGTCACCACCATCTTTAAAAAGAGCCGGAGGTAAGTCATCTGGGCCAGGTGATTTATAACGTTTCAAGAGTTGGAGTTCCTTGCGGACTTCCGCCTCGTTTGGTGGATCAGTCGTCACCGGCCATGGGGAGCAGGACAAGCTGGTTGATGTTGCCGGAGCAGCAGGCCAGTTGAACTGCCCTTCGAAAAATTCCGCCCATCGTCCAAGACGTCGACAGATGTTAGTGATTGGCATCCCGTCATCCTCGTAGATTGTTTCACTCACACCAGACTTCTTGCTGCCAGTGGCTCGGATGAGTTGGAAGAGCTTCCGGCAGTTACCAGATGCAGCTGCTGCTTCCATCTCATTAGCACGCTCCGACCACCAGGCTTCCCGGTCCTTACACAAGCTTTGCCCGATTTCATTACGTAACAGCCTTCGTTTGTGGTCAAACTCACGGTCACCCGGAGTAGACCGACGGGCTTCGATCAGTTGTAAGGAGCCAGAAGAAACCCAGTGCTTGTAAGCGGGACGTTTCGCGAAGCCGCAAGCGGCTTTACTCGCCATTTTCATGGCGTCGTGAAGATGCAACCAATGCTCGTCTATACTTTTCGGTGGGATGGTAGCTAGCCTAGAGGCTAGCTCCGCTCGATACTTACTTGCAACAGAAGTTGCAGCCAGTGTACTAATATCAATCCGTTGGTGGTGGTCAATCCTTCGGCCACTGAAAAGTAAGGTGAGATTGGCGCAGACCAGGGCATGATCAGACTCAAGATAGGTACTCCAAAAGGAGCGGCAGTCTTGTACACAACCACGCCAGCGGTAGCTGATCGCGATGTGATCAATCTGAGTCCAGGCTTGGGATGCAGAGGGAGGACGCCAGGTGGCACACCGGCGATGACTGTGCCGCAAGTTAGTGCTGGCCAGAAACAGGTTGTGGTCTGTGCACAGTTGCAGCAAACGGTCCCCGTTATCTGTCCGGCGACCAACAAGTCCCCATCGGCCACCTAGACGACTCTCTTCTGTGCCTAGACGCCCGACCTGTGCATTCAAGTCTCCGGCTAGTACTACAATATCTGTCGAACGCGCTTTCTGGAGAAGAACTGTTAACTGATGGTAAAACTCATCCTTGATTGCATCCGGGCTGCAATCTGTCGGGGCATAGGCGGAGATGACGAAAAGACACCGTTTCTCACGCCGATTTCTTCTCACTTTGATGGAACTTTCTAATCTAACAGCACATAACCGACTGTTAATGGGGATCCAATCGATTAGTGCTGCCTCAGCTCTAGCGCTTAGTGCGACACCAACGCCAGCAAGACCAGACGAAGATGCCACAGGGTCCCCGGATAAGCGCACGTGGAACAAGCTTTTCGAGGCGACAGATGGAGAGCGGATTTGTAGTACTTCACTAGAGTCTTGAATACGGGTCTCGGATAGACAACAAACGTCAACATTAAGACCTTCCAAAGACATAGCCAGCCCTATCTGTTGTCTGATCTGCATTAGTGTGCGAACGTTGAAGGAAGCCAGCTTGAACGGCGTACGTGGTTTCAGAAAGACTGCCTCAGTATTCATAATCGGTGGAAGCATTCACTTTCAACCAGACAGTGACTGGAGATCGTTTAGATAGGACAGATTTTCCACCAAGAGCGAGCGGCTGCATAAGTTGAAGAGTAAGGTTACACAAATTGGGGATAAAAGGGGGTGAATTAGCGATATGGTAAGTAATAATAATAATAATAATAATAATAATAATAATAATAATAATAATAATAATAATAAAGGTAATAATAATAATAATGTTAATTGTTTTGCTTTTAGTATGACCAGGGATATCGTCAATAAAGTTCATAATTTCATTCATTTGTTTGTGTGTGGGCTGTGATACTGCCCGGGTGCCCAAACCGAAGCAGGTGGTTTTCTTAAGGGACCACACCCCGAGCCTTTGACCTAAAGGTCTGATCCACAAGGCAGTGGAGCATCGTGAGGAGATGCAGTCCCATGGTTGCCGTTGACCAACAGCAGGTTCTTCCGCCATTCGTTCCATCAGGATACTGGAGCCCATGTGCACCATTGGTTTGGAATCAGGGTTTTCCAACTCCCCTAGGTGGACCCTCCGTGTCCACCAATCCGGTTATAGCGCCGGACATTCGCTTTTCGTCCTCTCACTTTCGTAAACAACACCCCCGCCACGAGAAGGCAGTGAGTAGGACTTCCCTGGCAGAGGCTATATATTCGCTGGCCATGTGAGAGCATTTCGAGAGGGAGAGTAGACTCTCCCCACTCTCGGCCGTACCAGGGCATATATATATATATATATATATATATATATATATATAGCCTAAAACGTTTAGTTTACCGGAATTAGTCCCCTGTTGTGTAAGTATGTACAAAGGTAGTAAATGAATATCCTCCATAGTTTTTTAAAAAATTTATTAAGCTTGAATAGATCCATATGGTAATGCTTGATACTTTGCATTTACGGACATTTTTACGTGAACGTTTTGTAGAAGTTCAGGTCCAGTATGTTTCATTTTGTTTTTATACTCTGATAAATAAAGAACCTTTTAAATACATCCCTTTTCTAATCAGTCTACTACACCTTAATCGTAATTTGCAGCATTGCAAAGTATTTTTATTGACTGTTCTTGTTTTATTGTTGCTTTTCAGTCTCATTGGTACAACTGTACCCTTTCTAGTGGTCACATAAATTCAGAAGCTGCAACTGTTGATCAACTTTTGTGCAGTGGTTACTCACCTGACGATTTGCGGTTTGCAATTTTAGACCAAACTCCTGGGAAAGACTTCGTCTATGTTATTGATCCTATTACTTGTTCGAATAGAGAAGCATGGGTTGTACAGTTACGTGATATTCAGCATATGCAGCACGAATTTTTGCTTGCTCTCCAAGATCCAAGGAAATTCAACACTAGCGCTCGGGATGAAGGATGGGGTAAGCTGTTCGTATGACACTTAGCACACAAGTAATTTCTTAGAATCCTAAACTTGACCGTTTATTCTCGTATAAAGTACGTTTCGAGTAATCAGACTATGTAATCGACACTAAATCAGTTGTCAATCAATATCCGTACCTATGTCATTTACTTTCCACCCTCTAAATAAAAAGTACTTTTTTAAAACGGACAGAAACCCATAAATGCACTGACTCTTGTTAGTGAGCAGATAGAAGTAGTCGAAAAGTTTGTTTATCTGGGCAGCTGTGTGAATGCTGATGGTTGCTGAACTGATGAAATCAATCTACGTATAGTGAAAGCCAAAGCGTGTCCGAAGAATTGCTCATGTTCATAGGCAACACCATATTTATAATATGGAGCTTTGGCATAGTGATGATCACTAAATTGATGTTATCATCTTGAAACAACGGCCCCGACGTCTTCGACGTGTACAACGAACATCGTCCCAGTAGGTCTTACTTTGCACCTGGGACTGATTGTAAAAAGCAGAGGTAATCACCTTATGACATGCTGGAGGACAATAAAAAGTTGGTATTTGTCAGTCCATCACGACTCCTTAACTGCAGTCCAAGAGATAATCTAACTCAGTGTTTTGAAACTTTATCAGACATGTCTCAAAATAAAAGCCAGTGACTGTCGTACTTTAGTTTCTTTCATAAATATGAGAGGAAATTTAAAGGAAAGGTATTTTTTTCTTGTTCTTTCTCAAATGAACTATTCTTCACATTAAATCTTACTCTTGTTCACTTGTTCTTTCTTCATTATATTCACCCTCCATCTGTTTACTCTTAATGTCAAGCATGTTTCTAATTGAGAAAACGATTATATTGCTATTATAAGGCCAGTTGTATTTCGTAATACAGTATTTAACAATTACGATGTTAAAAACTGTCGTATTAGCTGCGGATGGCTAGCCATATACAACTAAAATCAGTGAGGTGTAAAATGGCCTTTAAGCCGAGCAGAAGTGAACAACTGTTGTTTGTCTTGTGATCTTTATTTTCGACCTTGGCTAGTTACTAAACTGACAAAAAAAAAAACTCATGATCGCACTATTTTTGGCTGGATATTTTATGTGAAAATAATGACTTTCACTTCCTGACCTATACATATGTACACACATGCTCACCCAGGTGGATAATGGTTTTGTTCTCTGAAATATATTCGATTTAAATTTGAAGCTCAGTCTAGTGAGCAAACCTGTCAGCTTGACGAGGAAAACCATTATACATTACCTCACTTTAGGGTAATATAATTGACAAAATATTTATTCATTACGGAGAAACATTATTAAAGCGAGCGTTAGTATTACCACTTTAATCTAGCTAACAAACACGATCTTAAATAAGAAGCTTTATATTCATATTCGCAACTGAATGCTTCCAGTTTATTAGATGTCAGACATTTCATTTACATATTTCAGGACTATCTCATTACGCTCATAAGAGCTATAAATATTTAAAACAAAACAATATTTGTCGCCTAGAAATAAACTTATGTTAAAGCTGAATTATATTTCAGAAGCCAGCTAATCGTTACGATATTTATGCAACTTTTAATTTGCATATGTATTTTCTTATAATCTACGAGTTTAATTTAAAATATGGGAATAAGTAACATCCCAGACACTAGCCAATAAAAGTCCACAACCTAACTAACCTACTGACGTAACCAGTTCAGATAGTTCTCCCTTATCTTTTAAACGACCAGTATTATTTGAGTAAAAAGCCTTTTTGGGGTTTGTCTGCATCTAATGATAATCAGTATCACAAGACCTCACATACAGGAGTAGAATTCTGGCTTCAACTCAAGGAATAAAACTACAACGGATCTACAAGTGTGCCTATGTTCGAAAATATATTGAAGGATAAATATTTGATCAAAACATGTAGTTATATTCTAAATTTTTCTGGTTTTCTCAAGTTTGTTATTCTTGACCTCCAGTTGAGCGCCAGCTTTATTTGGAGATCATTATCTAAGAAACCCTGTTATCCAAATTGTTTTATCTAAAATAAAAACAATAGGATATATATCTCTTTAAATTGTCAGTTTTATTGATTATAATTATCCTCGTGTAGCTCCAAAATATACCCTATTTTCCAGCAGTAGTGCACCTAGGCTTTTTTTTTTTTTTTTTTTTTTTTTTTGTTTTGTTTTGTTTGTTTTTTCGGGTTTCCTTTTTTGGTAAAAAACTTGTTGAAATAACTCGTGCTGAGAATTCTATATTGTACCAGATTATAATATTGAATAAAGCCATTAATAATAATAATAATAATAATAATAATAGGCTTCCTGCTTCGAAGGAGCAAAAGCATTCACGCCTGCTTCAGTCACGAGATTGTGCTGCATAACACCTTTCCATGTATACCTGTCAGAGCTGACTCCTTTCGAACATAATCCTATACATATGCCTCCGAAACTATGAAGAGTCACTCAAAACTTACTTGGCGCTCACAAGACGAGTCCACATTCATGTTTAAAGTTGGTGCTCGACAGAAAATGATCGTGGTCTACATAAGTGCAGAAGGCGGTCACCATGACTGTTCACTTTCTACTTAGCGTGCCTCCCTCTTATACTGAGGTCTGAACTCAAATTGATCATAATTTGATATGGTATAAAAGTCCAGATGTGATCGGTCTGTACGATGGCACTGTATCATGAAAACTGGTATTATGGTATTGCCATCACGACTCTCAGGTTGGGATTCTGAAAATTGTGAGACCTATTGGCTTGAAACGTTATCATATATAACTGGAAATATGAGCTAGTAGCGATTTTGTTATAGCTTTTTATTACATTGTTCACAAAAGTTAGATGACCTCTCAAAACAAAAATCTTGTGTTTACTTCCAACTGAACTGAAGCTCATTGAATACTCTACCTGTCCATTTATTGATTGATTGTATGAATCTTTCCTCTCCACATTACTGTTACTTTATTCATGTGGTGCATTTTGTTGGTATCCAATTGCTCCAAAATCTATTTGCTTTAATTAATTGATTTAATCTACATTTGCTGGCTGATGTCAAGTGAATAACCACACTTGGTTTCTGTATATGACTTTCAGTGATAACTTATAAGATTATCAGGTAACTTGAGGTTCTTGGCTAGAGAAGTCTGTTCTGTGTTATACATTCAGAACACTAAAAACTGTATCTTGTATTTTGAAATTTATGTTCGGGATCTTAGAAATAATTTTCTGGTAGCTCGGTTCCATGGTCAAACCATTTTGAAGCCTGAGAAAAGTTTTTGTGTCGGGAATGCCTTCAGTTCTCCAAATCTTGAACTTTTTCACTACTCTGTCTTTATGTATTTCCGTTCGCTGATTTTTCTGCTTCGAATAATGTTTTTGTGTATTTGCTGTAAATGTGATGACTTATACTGATCTGCACTTTTATATGTTTCTATTTAAATAACAACATCAAGAACCAACCGTTAACGGCAAAGCTAATATTTTTTGGAAGTGGAAATGAGTAAATCCTTCGAACTTAATTTTATATTGTGCCAATAATCTGATTGCATACATGGAATAAAAACGTGTCGACCATTTATCAAAGCGTCTATTAATCAATAAGTCCCATGATATTATTCAACTTCGTATAAGTGTCGTAATAATTGTGATCCACCTTTTTAATGATATAAGATTCAGTATTGTAGAATATGTAAGAGTCAAACCCAACTTTAGTTTTTCGTAGTTGATAGATAGTTTTATTACCTTCTATTTGTTAGTCATGGTATAGCGGCTTTTTGACAGATCTCAATATATTCGTGAATAAAGTGCTATTTACAGTTCTAAAACATCTGCTGCAAGTGGAAAAATACACTGGATAAATAAAGCATTTGAATACTAATGCCTTTGAAATAGTACTCGTAATTGATTCCACCACTAAATTGAGATGCAACTGTCATATTTTTTTTATTGTCTGTAAATTATCCATTTACATCTTGGTTAAATATTTGTTACGTGTAAGGTATTTTTGAATTCCTTAAATTTAGTGTTGTGTACAGTGTTTGTAAAACAATAGTTCAATGATCAAAGCACCCGGCTTTTAACCATTATGTCCCAGTTTCCAACACACCGCTATCTACTGTAGTCTCAAGACCTGGGTAGTAAGCATGACACAAAAACGTACGGGTCAAGTGTAAAAACATTAACTCGTATTTGTTGGATAAATCACGTCAACTCTTAATTTCGGTATTCTGTATTTTATTATGGTTCCTTTCTTCTCATTTTTCTTTGCTTTGTTTCTGATTTTTAGCTAAAGATTCATTAACACATGAACCTACGTCAACTTTTAGTACAGATCAATCTGTACGAACCGATGCTCAGTTATCTATCTCAATATCTCCATGTAATCAAGCAAGTCAACAACCACATAAAAAGTGGCCAAGCTTTACAATGAAACGCCCAGTTAGACTAGGTTCCAACTCATCTTCCATAGGCACAAAAGAGATTGGAACAGGAAAACAGTCTTCCGGTTCACGCCCAATTATCCCTCTTAAATCAGGATCTCAAGATCGACCAGTTTGTCTTGCTCGCTCTTTGTCTGCTGAGCGTCAATTTTCGAATCGAGAAAATCTTGTAGATTCCAATTTCCGATCTGGTGATGATGTGTGTGACCCATCAGTTTACCGCAAATCTTCTCAAAGTGCAAATAGTTCCTTAAAGCTGACCAATCAATCTGTTGTAAGTCTAATTTAAGTTACATTTATCTTAGTGTTTACTACTACTAGCTTACTTTTAAACTGGAAATTTAAGGCAAATTGAATTAACTATAATTTTCTGAATGAAAGCATTGCGCTTTATTTCTTAATACAAATTATTGTCAATTTGCATTATCTAGAACATTCTGTGATTTCGAATGAGTTGAATATATACATTGTCTGTAAGAATTTACATTTATTAATTATCTTCTGGAAAACTCCTCACCGTTGTTTATGTAATCGTCGGTTTAGTTCTTGTCAGTGTTGTGGGAAATGTAATTTGGATGATAAACCGATAAACTATCTAACAAGATTTTCAATGAATGGTACATCAATAGAAGGCTGATTTCTTCACGAACAAACACAAATATATGATAGTACTCACACAACTGGTTGTAAATTTGGTCTTTGTTTTCAATATCCATTTAATCACCATAGTCTTTTTGAAATAATGCCATATGTTGTGTTTATATTAAAGCTCAGTCCTAGCACTGACTAACAGTACTGATGCAATTAAACGTTCCTAGGGAAAAAAGCGTTTTACACTCTTGCAAATAATTTTAGATTATTAGTAATCATGTTCGCAATTTTTTTATTTTGAACTGTAATTACGCTTTAAAAAACCTCGAATGCGATAAAAATATGCAGTTACCAAAGTATATAAATATATTTTTATTTATGTGAAGATATCTCAAGTAACTATTCTGCTTCAGTTTTAATTTGGTTGTGTTTTGAAATGACATTTTTGCCGTAGTTTGACTTTTTGGTAGCATCAACCATCAATTAAAATCAACAAAACGGGTTGAATATAGACTGGGAGAATAATCATTATAGTAAATACGCTCTTTACTATTAAACTGACGAGACGAATATTTCAGATTTAAGAGAAACCAAATCAATATATCCAAGTGCATCTTTGAATGTAGACTGGAATATTACAAAACTAAGAAAAGTAGTTTATTCTACCTCTGCTTTCTTCGTCGAATGCACTTCATTAAATCTTCCAAGAGCCTTTAACTGATCAGTATGATCTTTACTGAGGATGAAAGCATCATTCATGTGTTAGCTGTAAAATTTGAACTTTTTGGTAAACTGTAACTATCTTCTAATTTTTCAAGGGAAATATTGACTGATATTGAGATCCAATAGTGAACCCATTTCTGTTCTATTCACTTCATTGTATACTACTCCACCAAACATAAAATTCATATCCATGGTATGTTTTATTGGTCAATTTCTAGTTACGTCTGATCCCATTTCTCAAATTTTGTGGCACATATAGTTCACTGCCTCCATAAGAGGGACGTTTGCAAATAATTCAACCATGTCTAAGGATATTCGTGTCTTCTGGTGTTTAAATCCTCTATGCAGTCTATGAATAAGAATACATCCGTTATTAGATTGTACGACTAACTTGCGTAGACTGTTTTTTGGCTGGTTACACAATTTCCTAATCTATAATGCTTCCCTTGTATCTTATTATAAATATCTACACTAAAACACTGCTTCGTGGTATAGTGTATAGTTGTGCTGTTACATTCTAAGAGCTTAACTTGTTTCACCTACATATAGCTTTTTCAGTATATATATATATATATATATATATATATATAAAGGGTAGTTTAAGGTCATGTTACTACAAGTTCATATATTTGTCAATTTTTTATTAATATATGGGTTTTTTCGAGTTGGGAAGTATCCTACTTTCTAAGTGGTCAGTTTCTTAAAATTATATATCCAGTTTACTTTATTGACTTTAAAATGATAAATGAATGTCGAATGTCTGGCAATGAAAGTAGTGTAATCATGTAAGATGATAAAGTGTAATTAGTTATAAGTATATTGCATAAAATTCTTCGAGCTCAACATTGTTACAATTATCCCTGACATTACCACTAATGTATATCGATGATAGATTCTAAAGCATTCAAGTTTGTATAAATAGCTTCTGAGATTAATGCCCGTTGAATAAGTGCTTGGAATGTTATACTTCATCCTTCACTTAAGTTTATTTCTAGGCGACAAATATTGTTTTGTTTTAAATATTTATAGCTCTTATGAGCGTAATGAGATAGTCCTGAAATATGTAAATGAAATTTTATAGTTAAGATCATGAGTCAATTGAAGCTAGACCACCATCGAAAACCTGGAAGCACTGGACGGCCGTTTCGTCCTATTATGGGACTCCTCAGCAGTGCGCATCCACGAACCCGCTCTCGCGAGATTCGAACCCAGGACCAACCAGTCTCGAGCCAGAGCCCTTAACCGATAGACCACTGAGCTGGCATCCAACGGTGTTAATGTCTAACCTCAATCAATCCACGAAATTGCGCGACCAACTTCCGATGTACCGAGGTAGATACCTGTCTCTACCTGACATGACTCATGATCTTAACTATAAAATTACTAAATCTCCACAAAAACCCCCTTGTGATAATGTAAATGAAATGTCTGACATCTAATAAACTGGAAGCATTCAGTTGCGAATATGAATATAAAACTTCTTATTTAAGATCGTGTTTGTTAGCTAGATTAAAGTGGTAATACTAACGCTCGCTTTAATAATGTTTCTCCGTAATGAATAAATATTTTGTCAATTATATTACCCTAAAGTGAGGTAATGTATAATGGTTTTCCTCGTCAAGCTGACAGGTTTGCTCACTAGACTGAGCTTCAAATTTAAATCGAATATATTTCAGAGAACAAAACCATTATCCACCTGGGTGAGCATGTGTGTACATATGTATAGGTCAGGAAGTGAAAGTCATTATTTTCACATAAAATATCCAGCCAAAAATAGTGCGATCATGAGTTTTTTTTTTGTCAGTTTAGTAACTAGCCAAGGTCGAAAATAAAGATCACAAGACAAACAACAGTTGTTCACTTCTGCTCGGCTTAAAGGCCATTTTACACCTCACTGATTTTAGTTGTATATGGCTAGCCATCCGCAGCTAATACGACAGTTTTTAACATCGTAATTGTTAAATACTGTATTACGAAATACAACTGGCCTTATAATAGCAATATAATCGTTTTCTCATTTAGAAACATCCCTAATTATTTATGACTTCCAAAGTAGTTTTGGGTGATGTTTGAATAGCAATGTTTAGAAATCATACTGCCACGAATAATTAATAGAATCCTGGGTACTCTTTTAATCCTATCAGTTTGCTCAATTTGCTGTTGCGTTCTGATCTCTCATTTGCAGTATTGTAGTTGGTTTATTTATTTATTTATTTATTTAAACACATTTATATTGGTACAAAAGGGCACCAGGTACATATGCGCCACACAAAATAATGAAAGTAGGAAGAGAAGGGATGAAAAGATAAGGCGGACTAAAATGTAAAACCAGAAGACTCTTTCAGTTAGGAAAGTTAGAACCATACGTTATGTAGAAAGTAAAAGAAGGTTGCAGCAGGATCGCCACTGGCTTCGATTCTGAGCCATATCTGATAACGTCTCTAGCCACTGTGTTGCACCATCTCTCGGACCCCAACCAGGGAGTCGTGAAGGACCAACGGAAGCTAGCCCTTTGCAGCTTTCTTTCATGCCACGACACCATGTCATACACTGACCTCCTCTCCGCTTTTTCCAACCAGTCCCAGGGACGGCAAATAATGCACGACGTGGAAGTCTCTGGGACGACATTCGTAAAACATGTCCAAGCCACCGAAGTCGGTGTTTCAAGATGGTGACACCAATTGAATTATCGTCTCTGCGCCCGAACACACGATGCCGAACCTCTGCATTACTAACATGGTGTTGCCACTGGATGTCAGCAATCCTTCGGAGACAACGATGATCGAACACAGAGAGACGTCTAACATCCTCAACTCGGAGAGGCCAGGTTTCACAAGCATAGAGCAAAACTGATCTCACCGACGCGTTGTAGATCCGACCTTTTACAGCCAGACTAACATCACGAAGGCGCCAAAGATGGCCCAGATTGGCATGAGCCGCTCTGGCTTTCATTATACGTGCATCAATCTCATCACTCACGCCACCACCAGCACTTATGTAGTTACCCAGATACACGAACTTCTCAACTACTTCGATCTCCTCACCATCCAGGGTGAGTACAGGATGAGAATCCTGCCAGTCTTGTAGAAGTACTTTGCACTTGGAGGGTGCAATGCACATGCCGTACCTGTGGACACTGATTGCCAACTGATTAAGTGCTGATTGCATGCCTTGGGAATTATCGCACAGTAAGACAATATCATCCGCATACTCAAGGTCGAGAAGTCGTTCTCCAGGCAACAGATCCACACCGCCATTACTTACATCCATCAGAGCTGTTTCCAGGATGTCGTCGATGGCAAAGTTGAAGAGGAATGGTGAGATCGGGCAACCCTGCCTAACCCCACTGCTCGAATGGAACAAGGGAGAAAGGTGGTTGTATGCCCTCACTCTGCCTGAGGTGTTCATATACAGGGCTTTTAAGATGTTAATGAACTTCTCAGGCACACCCTTCTTCAATAGACAATCCCAGAGAACAGTCCTGTCCAACGAATCGAAGGCCGCCCTGATATCAAGAAACACTACGATTGTTGGCCTGCGATAAGTATGACGGTGTTCTAACATTTGGCGGAGGGTGAAGATGTGATCAATGCATCCTCGACCAGAACGAAAACCAGCCTGCTCCTCGCGAGTCAATCGTTCTCGGGTTTTAAACAACCTACGAAGAATGATAGAAGCCAATAGTTTGGACGCAATCGAAAGTAGACTTATCCCCCGATAGTTATTGCAGGAACAACGTGAACCCTTTTTAAAGATAGGGACGACTATTGACTCATTCCATGATGTTGGAACACTTTTTTGCTCCCAAACCTTTCCAAACAGCACAGTCAATTCCTTAGTCAGAAAGTCGCCACCATCTTTAAAAAGAGCCGGAGGTAAGTCATCTGGGCCAGGTGATTTGTAGCGCTTCAAGAGTTGGAGTTCCTTGCGGACTTCCGCCTCGTTTGGTGGAACAGTCGTCACCGGCCATGGGGGGCAGGACAAGCTGGTTGATGTTGCCGGAGCAGCAGGCCAGTTGAACTGCCCTTCGAAAAATTCCGCCCATCGTCCAAGACGTCGGGAGATGTTAGTGATTGGCATCCCGTCATCCTCGTAGATTGTTTCACTCACACCAGACTTCTTGCTGCCAGTGGCTCGGATGAGTTGGAAGAGCTTCCGGCAGTTACCAGATGCAGCTGCTGCTTCCATCTCATTAGCACGCTCCGACCACCAGGCTTCCCGGTCCTTACGCAAGCTTTGCCCGACTTCATTACGTAACAGCCTTCGTTTGTGGTCAAACTCACGGTCACCCGGAGTAGACCGACGGGCTTCGATCAGTTGTAAGGAGCCAGAAGAGACCCAGTGCTTGTAAGCGGGACGTTTCCTTGATTGCATCCGGGCTGCAATCTGTCGGAGCATAGGCGGAGATGACGAAAAGACACCGTTTCTCACGCCGGTTTCTTCTCACTTTGATGGAACTTTCTAATCTAACGGCATATAACCGAATGTTAATGGGGATCCAATCGATTAGTGCTGCCTCAGCCCTAGCGCTTAGTGCGACGCCAACGCCAGCAAGACCAGACGAAGATGCCACAGGGTCCCCGGATAAGCGCACGTGTAACAAGCTTTTCGAGGCGACAGATGGAGAGCGGATTTGTAGTACTTCACTAGAGTCTTGAATACGGGTCTCGGATAGACAGGCTGGCTTCAGACCTGGTCGTGGCTGTATCGACCACATATTCACCATTCGTCAAGTTTTAGAGCAGAGACACGCTTATCGGCGTCCGACAATGATAGTTTTTCTTGACTTGAAAGCAGCATTTGACTCTGTAGACCGAGAGGTTCTGTGGCAGTGTCTGTCATTGAAAGGTGTACCTGAGAAGTACATAAACCTTTTGAAGGCTCTTTACTCGAACACTACCAGTCGAATGAGAGCTTATGACGAACTGTCATCTGATTTTACAACCTCAAGTGGTGTCCGTCAAGGCTGTCCACTATCCCCATTTTTGTTTAACTTCATTATAGATTTGTTGCTGGAAATAACACTCTCGTCGACTGAATTTACAGGAATTGATCTCCTAGAAGGGGGACCACTAAGCGACTTGGAATACGCAGATGACATAGTCCTGTTTGGTGAAGACGCTGGCAAAATTCAGAGTCTTCTGTTGGAACTCAGTAATAATGCCAGGATGTTTGGGATTCGTTTCTCCCCATCCAAATGTAAATTGTTAATCCAGGACTGGCCTGCGTCAACCTCCGAACTAAGGATAGGGAGTGAAGTAGTCGAACGCGTCGACAACTTCACTTATCTTGGAAGTCTGATCAGCCCTAATGGGTTGGTGTCTGACGGAATCTCAGCACGGATTCAAAAAGCTCGTTTGGCTTTTTCCAACTTACGTCACCTATGGCGTAGACGAGATATCCGTCTATCAATTAAGGGACGAGTATACTGCGCAGCAGTTCGCTCTGTTCTACTTTATGGCTGTGAAACATGGCCATTAAGAGTAGAAGATACTCGTAGGTTACTAGTATTTGACCACAGATGCCTTAGAAATATTGCTCGCATCTGCTGGGATAACCGGGTAAGTAATAGTGATGTTAGACCCTGGGTATTAGGGAACGATGGTAAATCAGTTGATAAGGTTTTGAATCTTCATCGACTGAGATGGTTGGGCCATGTGTTACGTATGCCTGAACACCGATATCACGACGCGCTATGATGACTAGTATTGGGGATGGTTGGGAAAGAGTTAGGAGTGGCCAAACCAAAACATGGCATCAGTGCTTGAAGTCACTAACGTCTAGCCTGAGCCATGTTGGCAGATGCAGACTACCTGTTTGGGGTCCTCGTGACTATCGTAACCAATGGTTGGAGACTCTAGGTGACATGGCTCAGAATCGGTCACAATGGCGTAGGTGTATACACTCTTTATCTTCCCTTAAACCTTGAGACTAAAATTGCTTCATATCTGTCTTTCTTCCTGTACTATATCCTTATATACAACCTATAATTTATATACTACTACCAACACTAGATTAACTACTATGAATCCGGTGTTCCTCTTGTTGTGCTAACGAGGTATGGCAACTTGGACCGATGCATATATGTGCGTGGTCCTACGTTGTAGCTGACCTGACCTCGGATAGACAACAAACGTCAACATTAAGACCTTCCAAAGACATAGCCAGCCCTATCTGTTGTCTGATCTGCATTAGTGTGTGAACGTTGAAGGAAGCCAGCTTGAACGGCGTACGTGGTTTCAGAAAGACTGCCTCAGTATTCATAATCGGTGGAAGCATTCACTTTCAACCAGACAGTGACTGGAGATCGTTTAGATAGGACAGATTTTCCACCAAGAGCGAGCGGCTGCATAAGTTGAAGAGTAAGGTTACACAAATTGGGGATAAAAGGGGGTGAATTAGCGATATGGTAAGTAATAATAATAATAATAATGTAAATTGTCTTGCTTCTAATATGAGCAGGAATAGAATCGTCAATAGAGTTCATCATTCCATTCAATTGTGTGTGGGCTGTGATACTGCCCGGGTGCCCAAACCGAAGCAGGTGGTTTTCTTAGGGGACAACACCCCGAGCCTTTGACCTAAAGGTCTGATCCACAAGGCAGTGGAGCATCGTGAGGAGATGCAGTCCCATGGTAGCCGTTGACCAATGACAGGTTCTTCCGCCATTCGTTCCATCAGGATACTGGAGCCCATGTGCACCATTGGTTTGGAATCAGGGTTTTCCAACTCCCCTAGGTGGACCCTCCGTGTCCACCAATCCGGTTATAGCGCCGGACATTCGCTTTTCGTCCTCTCACTTTCGTAAACAACACCCCCGCCACGAGAAGGCAGTGAGTAGGACTTCCCTGGCAGAGGCTATATATTCGCTGGCCATGTGAGAGCATTTCGAGAGGGAGAGTAGACTCTCCCCACTCTCGGCCGTACCAGGGCATTTGGGGGCTGTAGTTGGTTTAGTAAACTCAATTTCATATAAATTAGTTAACATCATAGTTATATATAATTGTAATCATTTCTTAAACAACTATTTTATTTCATTTTCAGAGCTCAAAACCTTCAGATAATATTTTACAAAATGAAACTACTCCACATTTGAAAGGTGGATTGTTGAAGAAAAGAAATGCTTTTGTCAACTTCTTTAGTCGTGGCAAACCTAAGCTTAGGGGTAAACACCACCAAGGTCAGCATCATTTAGTTGTGCCATCAGGATTACAGGCGAAATTAGAAGAAAATGAAACTGCCTCCGACTGTTCATTTCCTAATTCCAATGATCACGTTTGTAATTCTGAGGTAAATTTAGGGGACAATCCAATCATATCAACTGATAATATACCTGGTATAAAACCTCATTCTTTGCAATTTACAACTGAATGATGCGGTCTAAATATTATAACATTGGATTTGTATTTAGTTTATTAAAGGTATAAATCTCTTTCAACTTTGAATATATTTTACCCAAGTTATTTTACAAATGAACCTGTCGAGAATTAAACTAGATTTAGCATTTGATATTTGCCAAAGTTCTTCATATCCGGTCAATATTATTTACTTTCTGTAATGTTTCGGTAGTGTGAATTCATCCGTGTGCAATACATGCAATTCAAACTCTGATCTTTCATTATTTGACAACCAAACGCAGTAGATTTTAATGAATACACGGTTGTAATCAGCTCAATATTCATAATTAGTTCTTCAGATCTATTTGCCTGTTTAGTTTTTAATATATTATGTGGTGTTTATTGTAATTATTATTGCATTCAACAAATTCTTTGCGGTTATTTTTTCTTGTTTTTCTTTACGCTCACATAATGGACTCTACATTATTTCATGACCTCCACTAAAGGTTCACTATTTTCCATGTACCCATGACATTCGTCATTTTTCTTTTAATGATAGGATTCTTTTTAGTGGTAATTTTTTTCTTCATATCTCGCCACTTCTCTTAATAATAATAATGATTATTATTATTGTGTTGCTACCTTCTGATGTAATCACCAATAAAACCCATTTATGTGGTCATTATTATCATTATGAATTGTATTTCAGAAACTTGTTTTTTATTTGTATATTTAGATTTTCCCGTGCAGTTATTACTGTATGAATAGAAAACCAGATGAAACTATCGAAACATTTGTAATTTACAGCTTGGATTCTTTGATTCATTTCATATTATATATTACTAAAATCCAAATAATTGATTCAATGACACATTACTTACATACTTATTATTTTATTGATTTTCAGAAATATATTTCCCTATTTGTCATTATTCTCTTTCTGTTTTACACGCTTTCTTATCTGTGAATGGTATACACGTTATGTTTTCGTGCATTTATGTTCATGAACCATACAATAACACAGACTATAGTATATATCATCATGATTACTACCAATGAAAGGCTGTGTGACATCTCAATAAGGCATTTAATCAGTTTTCATTTGTGTCTTATTAAATTGTCTTCAATCATTAGAAAAAATTTTTAAATTGCAGTTATTTTGGATCCCCTCGTTTAATTGATACATACACATATATTCTTTATTCTTACGTTTCGCGTTAATTGTTACTTATTGGATATAATTAGATGCTTCTGCTATAACTATCCCTTCCCACCCATGTTGATTCTTCCACTTGTTTGCATATACGGCGGTGTTTGCCTCTAGTCTTTTTTATAGCATAATATATTCTGATATAAAAGACACTTTGTTGTTTTGTTCCTTGCTGTAATAACATTGACCTTTAGTGGCTTGAATTAAGCCTATATTCAAAAAGTATATTAACGATTAATTCATTTTTATGAGATGCCTTTATTCGAGCGAGTTTTTTCCTTTTGACAGAACCTGACAACCGTATGCCTGTGCTAATGTGGTATGGCAATTTCGAACTGATGTACGGACGTACGAAGTTCTACTTTGTTGCTGACTGACTGACTTTCATGAAAGGTGTGGATTGCAGCCTTTTCCAAAAGTACGAACACAATCACAGAGTTACACTACATTGCAAACAATAGAGATGTTAGCCAGTCAAGAAATATCTGTAATTTGAAATACTAGCTATCAGTATGTATCGTTTTTTGAGATGATTAGACGTTTTCGTTCCTTAATTCAACATTATTTACTTCTATCTATGTGTAATAAGGAGTTCATCTGCATTTGTTCCTCGTTTCTCAGTTAATAATTGTGTTCAATTAATACTGTTGCAGCAACCTTAAACAATCAACTGTAATTGCTATTTGATTTAATTGTTGCAGGATATTTCCATTGTTAAAGTTGATAGAATATTGGAAGTTTGTGCCGACACGGTTAAGAGAAGTTGTTTTAATTAATTTTGAACGAAACACTGTTCATTCATGTAAGCTTCCAGGAAGTCACCATTACTGAATAAAGACAAAACAACAATTCAGAAAGAATAGTATATTTCGTGTTTACTCATCAGCTACTTGCAATCATATATGTATTGAAAGGTAATATTTAGATATAATCTAATTTGAAACAATCGACATTGAGGAACAGTGTTTGAACGATGTCATTAATTTTTAAAGACATTAACGAAAACACCTACAAGCGAACAAGGCCATGAAGTCTTTTCTATTAATCCAAAAAAATACGTACAAAATTTGTCGATTGGAATAATAAGTCGGATTGTGAAACGGGCCTCCCTCTCGGATTCAAATTTCATACTCTAAAAAAATGTTACAGAATCGACACTGGAATGCAATTCGAGTATTTATCGCAACAGTTGTCAAACCAAAACCTATGAGTAATAAAAGAAGAAAGGTGACTGAAATCGAAATTAGTGGATATTATTAATCAGTACGTTGCAACACCAGTTCCGTAATCCAAAGCGCTGATTAAAGATCTTCAGCAAGCACTGAGAAAACTTATGAAAAACGAGACAATAATGCTGCTTCGATCAGACAAGGGTTCTCGTGCAGTCATCTTAAACAGAGACGAATACACTGGCAAAGTAATGTTCATTGTAAATGGTTCCACGAAATTTATCATCAACAATACTCAGAAAGATCTTATAGATGCGATTGAGAAGCGTGTTTTAAGAAAAGTTGAGGGAAACCTCGAATAGAAATTTTCTTCATAATCCTACGTACAATGAACTCAAACCAACAGGATCACAATTACCTTACTTATAGAGCTTACTTAAAATACACAAACACCAACATCCCGATATGGCTAATATTATCTACGACCAAACCACCTTTCCACAAACTCGTCTACCGGTTGACCATATGTTTAGAACCAATCCATAAAAAACTAGTCCCCTAAAGTCTGAAGGATATTTTCGAATTTATATTATTCTGCCTCAGTTGTCTTTCCGGCTCTGTTCAAATTCATAAAGCAATCCAATTACACGAAATTAATGAATAACTTCATCTAACTCTTAGTGTATAAGTTGGTACATTCGACTACAGCGTTAAATTATTTCATGCAATGAAATAACATTACTATTCTTTTAGGTCTGATGATGTTAGTTTTAATTAAACTTATTAATATTATTATAGAAAGACATTTAAATAATTCATATTAATAGACTACAATTTTAGCTGTTGGCCTGCGCTTAGTAACTTTATTTTTCAAACAGTATATCCATACAACAACTAATTTTTAGTGATATTCGAGACCCTTAAAAGTATATTAACAAATTAATTACAGAATTATAGCGGTTTTGTTAGTTTCCACACTTATTTGATTATCGTGAATGCGCGAAACCTAAACCAGAAAAAACCCCTTGACTACTTAGTTACTTACTTACTTTCGCCTGTTACTCCCAATGGAGCATAGGCCGCCGACCAGCATTCTCCAACCCACTCTGTCCTGGACCTTCTTTTCTAGTTCTATCCAGTTCTTGTTCATTCTTCTCATGTCTGTCTCTATTTCTCGGCGTAATGTGTTCTTTGGTCTTCCTCTTCTCCTTTGACCTTCAGGATTCCGTGTGAGGGCTTGTCTTGTGACGCAATCGGGTAAAGCCTCCATAGTGTCGTCCTGTCCACGCTATCAAATGCTTTCTCGTAGTCGATGAAGTTGATGTAGAGTGATGAATTCCATTCGATTGATTGTTCCACAATGATACGTAGAGTTTCGATTTGATCTGTGCACGATCTATCCTTACGAAATCCAGCTTGTTGATCTCGAAGTTGGGCGTCCACAGAATCCTTCATCCTGTTTAACAATACCCTGTTGAAGACCTTCCCTGATATTGAGAGGAGAGTGATGACCCTGTAGTTGTCGCACTTGCTGAGATCGCCTTTCTTTGGTATTTTGATCAGAAGTCCTTTTTTCCAGTCTGCTGGTACTTGTTCTTCATCCCAAACCTTACTGAAGAGGATGTGTAGTATCTTAGCAGTTGCTGCTACATTTGCTTTCAGTGCCTCTACCGGGATGTTGTCTGGTTCCGCTGCTTTGCCGCTCTTGATTTGTCTAATGGCCATGCTGATCTCTTCAATTGTTGGTGGGCCAACATCGATTGGGAGGTCTGTGGGTGCTGCTTCGATGTTGGGTGGGTTCAGTGGAGCTGGTCGATTCAAGAGTTCTTTGAAGTGTTCTACCCACCTGTTTCGTTGTTCTTCAATGTAGGTGATTACTTTGTCTTGGTTGCTTTTCACTGGTCTTTCTGGTTTACGGTAATTTCCAGCAAGTTTCTCTGTTGTATCATATAGTTGTCTCATGTTTCCCTCTCTTGCAGCCTTTTCCACTATCGTTGCTAAATCTTCCACATATTTACGTTTGTCGGTTCTGATGCTCCTCTTCACTTGCTTGTTTGCCTCTGTGTATTCGGCTTGTGTCTTGGCTTTTTCCGCTCTTGTTCGGCTGATATTGATTGCTGCCTTCTTGTTCCTCCTTGCTTCAATTTTATCCAGTGTACCAACAGTGATCCATTCCTTGTGATGATGATTCCTTTGGCCCAGAACCTCCTGACATGTTGAAACGATTGCCTCCTTGATACCTTTCCAGTTGCTCTCCATGGTAGTTCCCTCTCCATTGAGTAGATCATGAAAGGCCTGGAACCTGTTGCTGAGGGCTATGTTGAATTTGTTGAGTTTGTCAGCATCTCGAAGAAAGGCAGTATTAAACTTTTGTGATGTTGTCCGCACCGTTGTCCAGTGCTTCTTGAGTTTTAGTTTCATCTTGGTGACCAGCAAATGATGATCGGATGCTATATCAGCTCCTCTTCTGGTTCTCACATCCTCCATCGTCCTCCTGAACGTTTTGTTGATGCAGATATGGTCGATTTGATTCTGTGTAGTGTGGTCCGGTGAAATCCAAGTGGCTTTGTGTATGTTTTTGTGTGGAAATATGGTGCCACCTATGACCAGTTTATTGAAGGCACATAGGTTTGCAAATCTCTCACCATTTTCGTTCCT